TCGATATATTCCTTATCAATAGTGTGCACAATAACTAGGGAGTATCGAGAGTAAATGTTTCCAATTAATATATGTGGGAGGTCTATACACTGAGAAGCTTCGAATTCCATACGACATAATCACAATTTTGTGTTGGTGTGGAATCGCCCATAAATGTGATGGTCTGAAAGTTCTCACTCTTAGTGGGGAACTATTGAATTAATACGAGAAATATCTTTTCAATAGTGATTTTTATAACTTTATAACTCTATAACTTACCGAAAGACAAATACTTCAACATAGCAGAACAATGTATTTTCACTCACTTACTGACAACTCGAACAAACAACAGTAACTGATATTCTCATTTGAATCCAGCTCGGAATATAGCAAAATGCTCATTTCCGAGAACGCCCCATATATCTGCTTGTCGTGCGAAGTAGTTGGTTAAGAATATGCCGTACTCCATATATAGGGTTGTGCATATGTATGGAATCACCTCATTTCTTTTTCCAGATTCTTTGGGTTCTTCTCTCCTCGTTTCTATCAATTTGAAATATGAAGATTATTTCAATATATTCGTGTTGTGAGAACAAACTAATGGTTTGCTTCAAAATGTCACCGTGATCAAAGACTTCACTATTTGATAGCCTAGAAGAAGAATTTGTATTGATAAGGGTTTGGAGAAGAAGAAGAAGAAGAATATTTATTTGAAATAGGTGACCCTAATACACAAAAACTAAATAGACATATTAATAACAATATAGATATTACAAAAATTTAAAAAATGTATTGACATTTAAATTTCGAGTTTGAAAACTCATCACACACATAATATATAAGTCATTAAAAGATTTACATTGTAATACAAAAACATATGAAAAATAGGTAAAGCTCTAATACAATCTTAAGTAAATAAAAACAACATACAAATACTCTATTTAGAAAAGTATCTCAACAAAATATATTCTATCTAATATTTTGGATGAATTCCAATAATTGTTTTTTAAAAATACTCAATGATGGGCTCGATTTGATTTCGTTAGGTAATTTATTGTATGTATCAAAACCTTTGAAAAACAATGAATTCATGGCACTTTTCCTAATTGTTCTGCATACATGCAAATTTGTATTGTTTCTTGTGGCATATTTGTGTACATCTAAATTCCGATTGATAAATTCACGAAAATATGAAGGTGATAAGTTATTGAGTATTTTATATATAAATATCATGGTTAAGTAATACAATCGTAGCGATACTGATAGCCACTGCAAAGTTTTTAACATGACTCCTATTTCCGTGAATCTATTTGCTTTCAGAACAATGCGCATACCGCGATTTTGAAGTTTCTGTAATTGTGATGTTTGATTTAGATTAAAAAGGAAGATAATAGAAGCGCAATAATCAAAATGAGGTTGAATAATCGCATTATATACAGTAATTTTAGACTGAATTGTTAAATTTCTAGAAATTCTGGCAAAAAAATATAGTTTTTTAGACATTTTTCTACATATATAATCGAAGTGGTTACCAAAGAGTAATAAATTGTCTAACTGAAATCCAAGATATTTTATACATGATACAAGTTCAATGTTTTCATTATCAATTTGCAGATTTATTTCATTCATATCAAGAGTGTTTAGCTTATATTTGGTTGATATAATCATTCCTTTAGTTTTCATTGTATTCAATTTCAATTTATTTGCCATGAGATATTCGTTAACCTCCTTCAGTGCAGTATTCATTTTCTCAATAGCTTTATCTAAGTTAGTATCGTAGCATGCCAATAGGGTATCATCTGCAAATAAGTTTACAAAATCTACATTCACAAATAAGTTAATGTCATTCAAGTATAAGATAAAAAGCAGAGGTCCTAAAACGCTACCCTGTGGAACACCTAAATTTATATCTGCTACCTGTGAGATATTGTCTCGAACCCTAACTTTTTGCTTCCTATCAGACAAATAATCAGTTAACCATTGATGCACATCACCATCAATGCCATATCCTCTTAATTTCATCAGAAGAATATTTCTATCGATCGTTTCGAAAGCCCTTTTCAGATCAAGAAAAACCGCTACCACAAATTTATTGTTATCGACTTCTTTTTTAAATTTAGATAAAGTGAGTTGTAATGCAGATTCACATGAATATTTTTTACGAAAACCAGATTGATTGTTTATTAGAATTTCATTCTTATCAACATGATCAAGTACCTGATTGTAAACAGCTAGTTCAAGAATTTTTTCTATTGGAGGTAATGTATTTATTGGACGGTATTCACTGGCCTTGATAGTATTGTTTACTTTTTGTATAGGAACTATAGTACTGATTTTTAGAGAATTGGGAATTTTTGAAGTTTGAAGAGAAGTATTTACAAGGTTTAAAATTATATGTCCACAGGTTTCAAAAATGACTTTGATCATTTTGGAATTTAGGATCTCATGAACGCTGTTTTTGTTATCTAAGGAGTTGATAATTAGACGTAATTCATTCATTGTTAATGAGTGAAAATGGGAAAAATTAGGATATAAATTATAGTTATGGAATTTCCAATCATCGACATTATCAATACTATCAACAATTTGCTGAATACTAGTAATGAAGTAGTGGTTAAATTCATTTACTATTTCCGTTTCATTCTTCACAACATACATCTGGTTTTCTAAGTTAAATTCAATGCAGCTCGGAAAGTTTTGGCAATTAACGTTTATAAGTTTTTTTAATGTTTTCCACATTAATCGAGTGTTATTTTTGTAAATATCTACTTTTTCGAAGAAATATTGTTCTTTTTTCTTTCTCAATAAATTTACTACTTCATTTCTCTGTTTCTTAAATTCTTCCCATTTCACATTTTTATTTACATCAACAGTTGTTACAAAATCCTTGTATGTCTTATCACGTTGTTTTATTTTATTATAAATTTCGTTGTCAAACCATGGAATGTTAGTTTTATATTGACAGACTTGAATTGGCGCTACCTTATTGATAACTGATTGACAGTTATGGTGAAAATTTTGATAAATAACACTAGCATCTGTTGAATTAGAATCCCAATCACAAGAAATTAAATCTATTTTAATTTTGTCCGAATTTTGCTCACTAAGATTTCTATGAAGAAGAGATATATAGGTATGTAGAAGAAGAATCACATTTTCACTTATATTTTGGAAACTGCTCTCGTTTTCAACATTAAAATGGTAAATATTTGTCTCGCAAAATGATACTCACATTTTTATTTTATAGAAACGAGTAGAGGGAATTCCAAAAAATCTGGAATAATGAATATACCATACCTCCTCGAGTAACCTACAAACAGTTTTTCCCATATATCTGATTGAACCAGAACTCGAATTATTTCTTTTTTCGAGACCTCTATGATTTTTTATATTCTACTCATTGGACAATGGAGAAACAATGGTTCAGATGATGTTGGAAGAAATAAATTGAAAACCCACTAGGAATAGTGAATTTTTCGTTGTTGTTCATGAACACTCAATGTTTTCATTTAAGTCAAAAAATTTCATCATATATACTTTCATGTGATCATCATCGGAAAATCTCTGCTGTAGATGAAGGTATCAATGAACTTACTATCAGTGACCTTTTCCAGAATTCTCAAGGAGTTTGCGCAGGTGGATTTGAACTGTGAACTCTTGTCGTTCTCTGTTTCAAGATTGTCAACGAGTTTGAGCTCGGTTTATTATATTCAGGCTTATGGTTCTTACCGTTTCATAGTGATTTTTCTTGAGAACAAGTGATTTAATGCCAATCCAGATAAATTGACTTCAATACACAAAATTTGTAATAAAGGTATATATTATTATTAAATATGAATATGAAGCAAGAAAAATGTTGATGGTGGATCGATCATATGCATATTTCACGTATCATGCAATAACTTTTATTATAGTTTTCTTTGTCTAGACCAGGGGGAGGGGAAAAAGCGGTGGAGAAGCGCTACGCCTATGTAACTGAATGTTTGTTAGTTATGAGGTATAGGTATTCACCTATAGTCAGGTACAGGGTCTTCACGAATATTTTGAACCCTTACCTAACTCAACTTCTTCAAGTATTGTTCAATTTTTTTCTCATGGAACGTTCTTTTATATCTTTTCCTGTAGATTTCATATATGCCAACAAAAAACAGTTGAACCTATCAATAAATGCTTATGACAACATTCATGATTTTTTCAATAGGATAACCCATATTATATTGCATCTTGATATCCTTCCTGAAGAGCAGATTCCATCGATCACAGTTGGGGTCTAGCTGAAATGATTAGAGAGATATAAGGTGTAAAAACTTGAGATTTTTTCAACTTTAGATTTTTTTTGTGTCGAAACTATTCATTATTGGCCAAAACTTTTTCCAAGTCCCTAACTTGACATTTTGATCCACTATCTACTGACTTCCAATTGAAACAAATACAGGGTCATCAGAATTATCGATTTTTCACCACCCTGTATTCGTTCCAATTGAATGTCAGTAAATATTACATCAAAAGTTGAGCCAATATGAATAGTTCCGACACAAAAGAATCCTAAAATTGAAGAAATCCCAATTTTTCACGCCCTTCATCTCTGTAATCATTTCAGCCAGACCCTTACTGTGATGAATCGATCAAATCAGCTCTCCAGGAAAAATATAAGAATGCAATGAAGTAGGTACTATAGATAAAATTATAAATGTTGCCCATGAGTAGATTTTTAGATGTTCAACTGTTATTTTGTCGACATATATAAATCTACAGGAAAAATATAAAAAAAAATTGCTGGAAAAAAGTTAACAACACATAAAATGGTTGAGTGGAGGTTCAAAATGTACGCAAAGACCCTGTACATTACAGAACATGTTTAGAAAATGTCATCCTCGTGGTGGAAAGATATTATTATTATTATCATAATAATTGGTGATGTTTCATTGAACATGTAAGTAAAACTACTCTTGTAGAATTGTCATCATAACTTGTCGACATTGAAAATCTCCAAAAAAGCTGCTTGAAGTCGTTCTACTCACAAGTTTTCTGGAACTCCTTGGTATCCAAACAGTCAACTTTGCACACACATAACAAAGTCACCAATAAACAAACACCTCTGCCGAATATTCCCCAGTGCATCTTGCACCCTATCGCCCTACCCCATCATCCAGCTTTCCGTTGCTGCTCAGCTTTCAAACACCGGCGCCCATACGAAAATCGTACGTATTCCACGCATGTGCTAGGCTCGCGAAGCGCATCTAGTACTAAGTCACACGCGCGACCGAAAGCTTTAGGAAAGTGAACTCTGCTCGATTTTTTTGCGTGAGGAGGATATTTTTAGATCGACCGTATGTGTCGCGTGAATATATCATGCCGTCACGGAAGGTAAATATCACTAAATGACGATTCCAGAGGAGATCCGTTCGACTGTGCATGTATCCCATCATGATTTTTTTATGGAAATGTATCCTTATCAGTTATCCCTCATGAAAAGAACATCCCAGCACCGGAATAGGTGGAGAAATCATCCCGATTGTATATCTCGGTATATCAAGTATGGCAAAAATATCGTCAACATTGATATCAGCGGAAATCTTGATATATTATCGAGTATTCACAAAATATTTTGTCTCATGCATGAAGTTTAGTCATTTACACATTTCCCGATATCATTTTTTCGTACGTCGAATGATAGGTGCCAATATTTCCCTTTCCCAAGTTTGGTATGTTAGACTTGACTCATGATTTCAATGAAAGTTTTTGACTTGGAAACTCTCCTTAAGAGCACACAAATTATAGAACTCATCATCTGTGGGCTATTCAGACAACTAGTGAGTGGATTTGTCGATGCCACAAATACTATGGATCTCACCGGATCGCTAAGCTCATGAATTTCTCAGAAGAATTTTCATCAATCATAATAATTGATAATATTTGCTCTCGTAATTCGAACAGAATTGTCAATATGTCAAAAACGTGGAAATCATGACAGATGTCGAGTCACTATGTCATCGAATCATGATGATTATTCATTCGTCGCCAACCTTGCTTCACAAAAAAAAATTGAAAAGGTGCCAAATATTTCGAAAAATTTTCCATATCGGAGATTTTATTGATCAAAATGAATCATAGGATACGTTCTGAACGAGTGCGCATTCGCTCTAAGAGAATAGCAGAATTATCAACAGGACTCTTCTGGTGTTGGAAGAATAAGAACACATCGGAAGTTCAGTTGAATCTCATAAGAATTCAACCGCATTTTGGAATTTTCCTAGGAATCTTCCATCGTTTACGCCATCTTTCATCAAATATCAAGACCGCACATTCCGGAATCGCATACAATTGTTCAAATCAAGAGGTTGTCTCACGAAATTACTGAAGAGTCGGCCCACCATAGTCATCATAGACATCTCATAACCCACAATCGCTGGCGCAAAATTCCTGACCAATTGACTTGAACAGAATATGTTGAAGCCAGGAATAATTGCAGCAACAGATGCATCGAAAGAATCATAGAGTCACAAAATCTACAATCCGAACTCACAGATTATACTAATGGCCACCACTTTCCAGAGCCGACACTTCAGCAACAACAACTCGAGAGGAGCAAGTACTCTTGCAGAGTAGTTCGCAGCAAACTGTACCTTGGATTCCCAGAAAAGAGTGCCACCAGGCATTTCACCCATTGAGAGTCGGATGCACAAAATCGTGTTTCGTCAATGCACTATCAGACGCATTCTGCTCGGTCTCGAAACGAATAAGGCCAACGGTCCTGATGGAATTCCATCCATTTTCTTCAAGAAAGGTGGACCAGAATTGAATCGATTCGAAGTAAAGAAAATTGCTAGGGTACAACCAATTCCAGAAATGAGGTAATGAAAACCTGCCCAGCTCATCTCGTTTTCAAAGTAATGAAGAAATTTATCAACATTGAGCACATAAAATATCTGGAGATCTCAGGAATCATTGATGATAGACAATATGGCTTCCGCCAACGAAGATCAACTGAAGATTCACTTGCCTACTTCACCCATATATGGCAAGCTTCATTAGAAGAATATGGAGAATCTCTAACTGTGTCGTTGGCTATATCAAAGGCACGCGATTTTGTACGGCACAAAGGACTGTTACAGTTTTTTGACTGACTAGGACTCAACTACTGGAACACTAAAATTCTCTGTTATTTCGGTATAGAGATTTATTTCGTGTCATTTCAACTAGAACGATCACAACAGTAGATCATTCAATCCACTTGACGAATATAGATCCTGGTTACTCAAAACAATAAATCTCTCTTGGAACCTAAAACAAATGAAATAAACCATCATAACGATATACGATATACAGGGTGTTGCGAAATTCGACCGACAACGCTTGACAGGTAATAGCCCTCGTGATTTCATAATCACTGAGATAGGGGGTCTCCAAATGTTCAGTTCTCGAGATACAGGGCGTTGAAGTTGAGAAATAAAAATAGTTGTTTCGCAATATCTCAAGAATAATTGAATATAATGCATTCAAATTCGGTATATGGTTTCATCTTTGAATGAGTCATTTTCTGAACGGAAAGCCATTCCGGACATTTTCTCCAGTGGTGCCCTACAGTGGGTTGTGGTAACTTTTCCTCCCATATTTTTTACTCCATTGATTAAATTTCGATTATTTCCAATTCCTCGAATTTATTGTTCAATTGTTGTCAAAAAATGTATCACGTTTAACGAAGCTGAAATGAACAGTTTTCGAGATATTCGACATTTCATCATTTTCAGTAGTAGGAAATTGCAAAATATATTTCTGGTGTTGAGTAGATTAGAAACTATTCAGATCTCATCTTGTAGCTGAACAGAAATAGTTATTCCACGCATAAAAAGAAAACAAATATTTTTGTGATTTTCTACTACTGAGGAAGGAAGGAAAGGAAGGAATTACTATGCAAACTTCTATTTTGGGTCAAATATCTCGATAACTATTCATTTTAGCTCAGTTGAAGGTGATGCATTTTTTCAACATAATTGAACAATCAATTCGAGAAATTGTAAATAATCAAAATTTTGTCAGTGGCGTAGAAAATATGGGAGGAAAAGTTATCAAAACCCCCTGTAGCGCACCTATGGATAAAATTATCGGAATGTCGTTCTGGTCAAAAAATTAACCATTGAGAGATGAAACCATATACCGAATTTCAATGCATTATATTCAATTTCTCTTGAGATATTGCGAAAATACTATTTTAATTTCTCAACTTCAACGCTCTGTATCTCGAGAACTGAACACTTGGAGATCGTATGTCCCTATCTACGTGATTATGAAATCACGAGGGCTATCGCCTGTCAAGCGTTGTCGGTCGAATTTCGCAACACCCTGTATACAACGTGAACCAACCTACCTTTCTGTTCATAAGTGAGTTTCAGCTATCACGACATATCAGTCCGAGCCAGACCAACATACTGTTCTGTAATCATTCGACGTCACGGTGATTTCTCATCAATTTCAAGTTAACGATTTGTCTCCAGATGATACGATAAATACATTGATATTGTTTCGCAAAACCTAACCCTAAAATCTAAGCTGTGTGCACTCTTGTCCTTCGCTTCTCTCCTAATTCTTTCATTTCACCCATTTTCTACCACACCTAACAGCCAACCAAAATATGCCAGCGGCAGTCGAAGCTGCTGATGCTGCCGAGAATATAACTGGCAAATATTTTCCCTGTGGCAAGTATGACATGGGCTTAGGACTCAACTCAAGTAATGGTTATTCAAAGATTCCTCTCCGCATGACTTCATCTATTCTAGTATCCCGAATATGATTCTGATGGTAAAAAGAATTTTTCCTGATTTGGCTTCATAAGATTTATCCAGATTGCTGATTGAAGCCATCTTTTCCTTCTTTTTCACGAGAGTGAACATTTTGCTATCTGCAGAATTGTCTATTGAATTTTCAGAATATATAATATAAGGAATTCAGCAAAGATTTAACCTCAAAAACTGGCCTCGATTAAAACCACGTTGATGCCACACACTATCACCGGAAAGCCTTATAAATAATTTCAACTTTTCAGTACAAATTTTGTTCTAGGCCGTTTCTCTACCTTCATTTGACTCAACTTTCGTGTTTACTTTCTGAGACTGAAATAGTCTCAGTAACATTCTTCAGTTCTTGTTCTTTGTCTACATTGTGATTTCTAGCAAAACTCAGGGATCGGTTGATATAGTGGGTATTTCTCGGTAAGGAAGACAAAGACAGCTTTTCAAACTTCGAGCGCTCAGTTTTGTACAATTTGGTGTTCAGGGGTCAGAAGACGACACAATTTTTATATCGAACGTATTCCAAGCTGAAAGGAAATTTCCAAGAATTCATAATTCATGACGAAAACGTCAGTATTGGAGACATTCAAACAAATGATCATAGTGAACAGAAGATGATGAAGATACGATATTTATTAACAAGCGAGAGTATCCTTATGAGCAGAAATCTAGAGCGGAGTCGCATACGGCCGAATGATGAAATTATACAATAGTGATCAAAAATAAAGTAATGCATACCTAAAAGGCAAGCACACCACGAGAGGAATACTCTGTAGATTATATAAAACCTCAGCACTTCTATTTTGAGTGTAATGTTCAGAAATGTGGAAATTCGAGTGAAAGTTCCTTCCCAACAGTGGAACCTGCGCTGAAATATTCAATAATAATAAATCAAATTGTCCAGGCGGGACGTCATCTAGCCAAAAAAACACCTCAACGCCCAAAACAGATACCGTCACCTGAGCAGAGTTCACTATGAAATATTTGGTCGAAGATGATGGTGAAGTAGAACACACTCTGAAAATCTACGAACTGCTAGTATCGAAAAATGAATAAACGAAATGACATAAATAGTTGTTCGCGTCACACAATTCATCCAGATCATGGAACATCAACTTGAAAGTTAATGTTCGATATCCGGATATACAGGGTAGCAGTATTTGATCTGCTACAACCGTCTCGTCTGTTCTCCTGTCTACTCGGTCTACAAGTTCACTCAGCTCAGTCTATCCTGAGATTTCTACATAGGCGACCACCATAAATCAGGAAAATATCAACTAGTGCATTATTCCCATGAATATGAGGCCGGATTTATTTCAACACATATACAAATGGAACTGAAATGTTTAAATGATATATTACTGATTCCAGGTTCAACTCGAAAATGGAAGCTGATATAATGAAGAAGTTTCTTCAAAGACACCTCCTTATCTCAAAACTGATGAGAACACATTGAAATATAAAAAAACGATTGAAGTCT